TCTTAAAAGTTGTAATTCACAAGGTAAAATAGGTTTGTTATTACTGTTGGGTACAATTACATTAGTAGCAACTTTGATGAGGATAATCACTACCATAAAAATGATGACAACTCAAGTGGCAATGATAACACTCTGAGTGGCAATGATAACACTCTGAGTGGCAATGATAACACTCTGAGTGGCAATGATAACACTCCGAGTGGCAATGATAACACTTTGAGTGGCAATGATAACTCCTCCAGTGGCTATGTTAACAACTCGTGTGGCAATTGTAACAACTCGAGTGGCAATGATAACACATTGAGTGGCAATGATAACACTTTGAGTGGCAATGTTAACAACTCGAGTGGCTATGATAACACATTGAGTGGCAATGATAACACTTTGAGTGACAAAGATAACAACTCCAATTTCATTGATAGCTTTAGTTACAAGGATGGTTACAACTCCAGTTTCGATAACAGCTCCAGTAACAAATCTAGTGACGCTGATAACAACTCTATTGAAGATAATAGCGTTTTTGGTTTAATGGTTTGGTTTAATTTTGTTTAACGACCTTTTGACAGCTTTGATCATTTAAGAACGGGCCTTCATATGTGTAGTGTATGCGTGTGTGTGTGTAGGCGACAGGGTATGTTGGTGTGCTTGCCCCCTTGTGAAGCGTGGATCTGATGCCGACTCTTTAGTGCTATCTACCTGAAACACCATGTCTGAGGCACCAGTACAGCTTTCCGCTCAGTCACATTATACTGACAACGGGTGAACCAGTTGTTGCCATTCCCCTTAGTGCTGAACGTTAAGCAGGGAATAACAACTACCATTTTAAGGACTTTGGTATGTGTCGGCCTGGGGACAGAACACATTGCCTTCCTCACCTGGGCGACCGCTCAACATTCAAGCCAAAAGTGAGGTGTTGCCTAGCAAAACACTAGGAAGTAAAATGTAGTTAGAAGAAGAAAGAAAGATAAAGAACCCAAATATTGCAAAGGGCGCAGCAGATTGTTTTTGGTCGCTTTCGTGTCCCCAGATAGAGGACACCAAAGCAAAAGCCACATTAGTCGCCTCCTACTATACACTCAGGTGTTTTCTTTTACCGATCCCCCACCTGCAGGGGTGTAAAAGCGCGACTGTGATAGTAATTCAAAGACGACGATAACAACTTAAGCTACAATGATATTTGTACCACTTTCAATAATATGAAATGAGTCATATCATTGAAATGGTTACATATATCATTCTGTGATTTAACCTTTGGGGTTCATCTTGGTTATATGTTCTGTGTATAAGGTCTTGTGACACCGTGATATTTACGTCGTCTCCTTGAAGACAGATGAGCTTTGTAACAAATGTTTATAGGTGATCTGACGACTTCTGTCGTTTACTCAACGGTTCAAGCTTCAACACTACTTATTTACGGAGTACAAACAACAGAAGACAATGATGTGTCACCTGAGGCTTTAATCAAAATATTGTCCCTTATTTTCAAATTTATGTAAAAATAAATAAATAAAAGGCAATGGTAGATAATAAATCTAAAACGAAAAAGAAAAAATGGAACGGTTAACTCAAATTGATGAACAATTTCTAATATACCTTGGTAGAAGATTCCAGTCGAGAGGTCCCTGATATCTATATTTTAAATGTTTGTTTTATGAGATGACAAATAAAATACATTGGTATATGACGATCTGGTAGTTCTACCCTGAACATCAGATATATTGTAAAATAATTCAAAGTGTGTGTGGAGCTAATTTCTTAGGCATCTTAAGTATCTCACAATTCAAACTCGTTATGACTGCTCTCTTCTGCAGGCGTTCTTATTTGACAATCCTAATTTTAGAACTGTTACCCCAGACAGTAGAGCATTAATCCAGATGTGGGTTTACAAAACAATAAAAAAATGCTATACAAGATGACTCAAGAAGCGTCTTAGCTTCTTGATTTGAAATTCGACACGATATTTTTTGCACACACTTGAAAAACTAAATGTCCAAAGAGAGACAATCACCCACTGACACTCCAAATAGTTATTCAAGATGTTAGTCTTCTATATAACAACAAACAGTTCTTCTTTTAATTTACATTTTCTCTGAGAGGGATTACCAGGCATACGATTTTTTGTCTGTGTATAATGTGTATATACACAATGTTTTGTCTCACATTTTTATTTACAAAGTTACGTGATTGTCCTTGCAATCGCGCTGCGATGTCGTCAGCATACATATACAAATGAATTGATTTGTTATCACCGTTTTTTAGGAACAGATCATTACTCCGAAGAATAAATGAGGTACAAATTAGGTTCTAATAACGTACACAAGTCTTTCGTATGATCGGGGGGGAAAGTTTTGACCGGCCATTGTGTTAGGGCTTTTCTATATACCATATCCCAGAGTATGGATCTCTAGTATGATGCTGAATTATATCCAAGCAATATCACTATGTTTAACTATTTCGTTTCGATAGTTTTATATATGGTTTTGTGTGATTACAGGTGGGTGGGGTTATATATATATATATATTTGTGTGATGACAGGTGGGTGAACTGGATAAACATGAAGATGTTTGACTTCTACGGCCACTGGGATGACCCGACTGTTGCCAATCACCACAGCGCCCTATACAGTGCCAAGGATCCCAAAAATGTGGTACGTACAAATATGGCCATGTCTTTGCGCACCACAACGTGTCTTACGTCGTAACTTATGTGACACTGTCTGTCTTTACTATAAACTTTTCTGATGTCAGAGGTCGTGCATTTTTTCTGGTGTCGGAATTCGTGACACGTTTTACTCTGTTGTCAAATGTATCCAGATTTGCCAGTTTACCCTTTGTTTAGACTTCCAGTTAGTGAGTTTAATGTCAAGTCCGGTCAACTATTTTCATGGTTAATTTTGCTCGTGTGCGTTTTTTTATAATTTTGTGTGTTTAACACCTTTGATCGAATTTTCGCAAAATTTTCAAGATTTTGCCCACTCATTGTATCTTTGTAAAAGACATTTCTTTTGTTCTCGCGCGACATATATGTCAACACTGAATTCCCAAATGACATGCTCTCAGTGCTTGTAACTATACCTGATGTACCTGTGTGTATGTGATACTCTCAGTGCTTTGTAACTATACCTGATGTACCTGTGTGTATGTGATACTCTCAGAGCTTTGTAACTGTACCTGATGTACCTGTGTGTATGTGATACTTTCAGTGCTTTGTAACTATACCTGATGTACCTGTGTGTATGTGATGCTCTCAGTGCTTTGTAACTGTACCTGATGTACCTGTCTGTATGTGATGCTCTCAGTGCTTTGTAACTGTACCTGATGTATCTATCTGTATGTGACACTCTCAGTGCTTTGTAGCTGTACCTGATGTACCTGTGTGTATGTGATGCTCTCAGTGCTTTCTAACTGTATCTGATGTACCTATCGGTATGTCCTTTCAGAACAATCTTAGTCGATACTGGGTAAACAAGGGCGTACCTCGTCACAAGATCGTACTAGGACTGCCCATGTACGGCCGCTCATTTTCACTGGCCAACACCAACTACACACAGCCCGGGGCCCCCGCCCTCGGTCCGGGATCTGATGAAGGCGACGGCTATCCCATAGCACAGGTCAGTCAAATCCCTGCATGCTTGTCAATCTGCTTCGAACAAGGAAGGTACATGTAGCGATATGACTGAAGGCATTTACTAGTTTATAGGATTTGTTAATTGTTTTGATATCTCCACACGTCTTTCAAATTTGTCCTTGTCGACGATGAACAATGGGTTATATACCAACCCTCTGACTATTCAGACTACTATAATAAGTGTTTCTTCCTAACAAGTCTTAGCACTGTAGAGTAAATTGTGACGTTTTAATTTTCTAATTCGAGAGTATATCCGTTTCAGACAACTATGGATTGTGAAAATAAACAAAACGCGTTTTTCAACTTTTGCAGCTTTGTCATCTGATTAAAAATGGTGCCAGGGAAATGCTGATCGCAGATAAACGAGTGCCTTATGTGGTCATTGGCGATGAGTGGATCGGGTATGACAATCCCGAGAGTATCAAACAAAAGGTAGGAACAGTGTCGCAGGACACCGAAATATAATGTCAATGGATTTCATATAGTTTGTACCATCTAAGCGATAATTGTAAGATGTAGGGAGGGGACTGTAGGATTGGTTCGTTAAGTCCTATATTTATTGTTATGTTGCAGGCTCGAATCGCATTCAACAACTTCCTGGGTGGCGTCATGATCTGGACGTTGGACATGGATGACCACCGTGGCGCATGTGGTCGGCCCTACCCGTTGATAAACGCCGCGTTGGACGGTCTCAACGCCCGCCACGGGTATAAAGAGCTCATCACAAACGCCCTGCAGGACCAAGCTCAACAGGCCGCCGCTAAGAAGGAAATATATAGACAGAGAGCGCTGGGATGGGAAATGCAGGACAAACAAGAACAGATTCATAACCAACAAAGAGGAGGTCGTAGACGAGGCTGGTGAGCTGTAACTCAGAGTTACGACTACTGGTTGGCCAGCACATGGTGTTATGGTGTAATTTAAATAAATGCATTAACTCTAAAGATACCGCTATTCTCCGGTGTAGTTACTTCAATTTCCCAAAAAAATAAATAGAATATTTTATTGTGGTTGTTCGACTGTTTATTTCATTGTATTAACATAAGTCAACACGAGGCTGTGGGCGTTCACGGCAAAGTCCAACACAATAGAGGGCTACGGCCATTCCGTCATATTTATCTCAATCAACAGTGAAAATGGGTGAAAATCAAAACACTTCCAGAAACCACTCCTAACAAATAACGTAAACAACCGTTAATAAAACGCTACTACTCTTCTGATCTCCCCTCTACTCAGAACTGCTATAAACAAAGCGCTGGGTTTTAGTCACCTCTTTCAAAAGGTTCTTAGCGACAAGATTTTGAACGTTTATGATTACAGAAGACACGGCTGGTTCGGAAAACGCTAGCAATAGAAATACATTCATGAGGTTGACGTCACAATAGAATGACAAGACTATACGCTAATGTAACGCTGGATATTCTTTCCTTAGATATGTTCAAAATCCTCCAGTATTCGCAAAATCTCTGGTGTGTGTGTACCTTAGGTGGACGGTAAACCACCAAAGTGTCTCTAAAAGGGCGTCTAAAATATAACCAGCAAGTGAGACTGGATGTATTCGCACCTCCGTCCGTCTTGATGACGTCAACCTCATGAATATGCAGAAAATAGTGCGACGTCTAGAAACTTCGAAATTACTCGTGTTTGGAGAGAATTTGGAGATTATTCCTGTACAAGGAGGCTATGTGGATATATAATGCTATTTGAATACCAAATTATCCATAATCTCACCCATGCTAAGGTTTTCTTGTACACCCAACATCAATTTGCATGGAGAAAGTTAAGTGAAGTCATATTTCAGACCTCGAGAGCTTTCCATCCTTCCAATGTAACCATATATGGGGAAGGCAATATTTACTTCCTTAAAACGGAGGTCTAATACTACCTTCTACACGTAATGGGTCCGAACATACATACTGTTGCTGTGGCCGTGGTAGGAAATTTCTGTATAAATAAAGACACAAAGCATACACAACTCCTAGCAGACTTCCTAGACCACTCATTGAACGCGTGCATGTTTTATTAGATTATGTCTCTTATTACAATTGATGCTTCTCTGGTCAGAACCACAGTACCAAAGAGGACCCGGGGTTTAGAGAGATTGAGGTTACACGAACATCATTTAAGGAAGATCTTTTGTTCTTGTAACAAGCTAAGGCAGACCCTTGGTTTAGATAACCAATTAAGGAAGACCTTTGGTTTTGATAACCAATTAAGGAAGACCTTTGGTTTTGATAACCAATTAAGGCAGACCTTTGGTTTCGATAACCAATTAAGGCAGACCTTTGGTTTTGGTAACAAATTAAGGCAGACCTTTGGTTTTGATAACCAATTAAGGGAGACCTTTGGTTTTGACAACCAATTAAGGAAGCTCTTTGGTTTTGATAACCAATTAAGGCAAACTTTTGGTTTTGATAACCAATTAAAGCAGACCTTTGGTTTTGATAACCAATTAAGGCAGACCCTTGGTTTTGATAACCAATTAAGGAAGACCTTTGGTTTTGATAACCAATTAAGGCAGACCTTCGGTTTTTATAACCAATTAAGGAAGACCTTTCGTTTTGATAACCAATTAAGGCATACCCTTGGTTTTGATAACCAATTAAGGCATACCCTTGGTTTTGATAACCAATTACGGAAGACCTTTGGTTTTGATAACCAATTAAGGAAGACCTTTGGTTTTGATAACCAATTAAGGCAGACCTTTGGTTTTGATAACCAATTAAGCAGACCTTTCGTTTTGATAACCAATTAAGGCATACCCTTGGTTTTGCTAACCAATTAAGGAAGACCTTTGGTTTTGATAACCAATTGAGGAAGACCTTTCGTTTTGATAACCAATTAAGGCATACCCTTGGTTTTGATAACCAATTAAGGCATACCCTTGGTTTTGATAACCAATTACGGAAGACCTTTGGTTTTGATAACCAATTAAGGAAGACCTTTGGTTTTGATAACCAATTAAGGCAGACCTTTGGTTTTGATAACCAATTAAGCAGACTTTTCGTTTTGATAACCAATTAAGGTATACCCTTGGTTTTGCTAACCAATTAAGGAAGACCTTTGGTTTTGATAACCAATTGAGGAAGACCTTTGGTTTTGATAACCAATTAAGGCATACCCTTGGTTTTGATAACCAATTAAAGCATACCATTGGTTCAAGTAACCAGTTAAGGCACACCTTTGGTTCAGGAAACCATTTATGGTAGATATTTTTTCTGGTAAGCAGTAAAGATAAAAAATTGCTTCTAGTAACTATTTAAGGAATACCTTTGGTTTTGGTTACCAGTTAAGTTCGACATTTTGTTCTGGAAACTATTTTAGATCGACCTTTGGTTCTGGAAACCAGTTATTGTAGACGTTTGGTACCGGTACCCATTAAAGGTAGACCTTTGGTTCTGATAATTTATTTAGAAATACCTTCGGTTCTGATAACTAATTTAGTACATGTAAGACCCTTGGTTCAGGTAACAAGTTAAGTTAGACCTTTGGATCTAGTATTTGTTTTAGGAAGACCTTTGGTTCTGATAACCAATTAAGAAAGACCTTTAGTTCCTGTAACCAGCTATAGCAGATATGAGGTTTCTTGTAACTAGCTTAGGCAGATATGTGGTTTTCGTAACCAGCTAAGGCAGATATGTGGTTCTTGTAACCAGCTAAGGCAGATATGTCTGAACTCCTGAACCACATATCTGCCTTAGATGGTTACAAGAACCACATAACTGCCTTAGCTGGTTACAAGAACCACATGTCTGCCGTAGCTGGTTACAAGAACCAGCTAAGGCAGATATGTCTGAACTCCTGAACCACATTTCTGCCTTAGCTGGTTACAGGACCCACATATCTGCCTTAGCTGGTTACAAGATCCACATATCTGCCTTAGATGGTTACAAGAACCACATGTCTGCCGTAGCTGGTTACAAGAACCAGCTAAGGCAGATATGGGGTTCTTGTAACCAGCTACGGCAGACATGTGGTTCTTGTAACCAGCTAAGGCAGATATGTGGTTCAGGAGTTCAGACATACCTTTGGTTCCGATAACCAATTTAGGCAGACCTTTGGTTTTGGTTTTGGCGCACCTTTGGTGTCAGAAAAGAAAGTTTCAGGAATTTGATTTCAAAGTAACAATAACACATGCACACCATACCCAAATTCTAGTTTAATCGAAATGACTACAATAAGGGCTGTAGAACCACCACATTGAAACAAAAACAATATCGTAAACAGAAACGTTTTGTGATAGTGTGGTGATCATCATTGTCATACCGGAAGTTTATATTAGAATATATCATAAGAAAAGTGTCTGGTCCGATTCTTAAATTCAAAATAGATTTACAAATGTGTAAATCTGTATCACGAGGATTTATTTGATACACCGAAGCATTCTTTTACCCATTTGTAATTGTTCTGGTCTCTTAGCAATATATCAATGGTATATAGATATATCAAATTTCACATCATACCGAACCTTCGGTAGGCAGTTAAGATAAAGATAATGTTGCTAGAAGCTTTATTAGCTAGTTCTTTTATTGGAGGTCACATAAGTATGTTAGCGTCGGTAAAATGTACTCTACTTGACCAGGGCCATCTTGATCAACTTATATTTCCATTTTTACAAATTTTATTGATAAAATCAAACGGATATGAGAACAATGAGACAGAACCTATATACAAAACGTATCCCAATTTTACGTACTTTACAATCAATATAATTATACAGTCAGTTTATTGAAATTTAACACGGGCTATGTAGAAGATGGCTGGTAATAAAGCAGGGGAGGCAATCCAAATATTAACGAGACTCTTCGATAGCTACTTGATAACTAATTAATATATCGCCTGTGGTGAAGAAAGTGGTTCTTCAAAACACGGCTAGTTTTTAGTGGGTATAGTAGTGCTTATAAACTTCTGACATGGTACGCTGGTGACAATCACTCCGGACATGCGTGATTAAGCAAAGTCTTTCGTGACAGAAAAATATTTTCGGAACGAGAAATATTGAAAAACATATCACCGGTTCAGGAACACATTAAGTATTAGGAACATCGGTCGATATTGAAAGAGTGAGGGGTCGATATTGAAGGAGTAGGGGTCGATATTGAAGGAGTGAGGGGTCGATATTGAAGGAGTGAGGGTCGATATTGAAGAAGTAAGGGGTCGATATGAAGGAGTGAGGGTCGATATTGAAGGAGTGAGGGGTCGATATTGAAGGAGTGAGGGGTTGAAGGAGTGAGGGGTCGATATTGAAGGAGTGAGGGTCAATATTGAAGGAGTGAGGGTCGATATGAAGGAGTGAGGGTCGATATTGAAGGAGTGAGGGTGGATATTGAAGGAGTNGGGTCGATATTGAAGGAGTAAGGGTCGATATTGAAGGAGTGAGGGTCGATATTGAAGGAGTGAGGTTCTGTATTGAAGGAGTGAGGGTCGATATTGAAGGAGTGAGGGTCGATATTGAAGGAGTGAGGGTCTATGTTGAAGGAGTGAGGGTCGATATTGAAGGAGTGAGGGTCGATATTCAAGGAATAAGGGGTCGATATTGAAGGAGTGAGGGGTCGATATTGAAGGAGGGGGTTCGATATTGAAGGAGTGAGGGGTCGATATTGAAGGAGGCGTCGATACAACAAGGACAGTATAATAGCAAAGGAAATAATTACACGGAGACCAAGGTAAAGTACGAGGATCAAACATTAAACATTTCACAAACAATATCCTTTATCTTATGCACATTTGACAGGTGCACGTTAGGACAGACAGATTTATCTATACTCCATGCAGACACTATACTGGTCCCGACTGGTTCGTTAAAGAAGTATAAACAATTAAGTCGTTGGTACATACACTCAGTACGTGTATGACCTTATTTGGAAGGCGTTTGACTGTTTGTTAAGATGTCTACACGTGCTACTGCTCGTCGAGTTCTGAAGTCTCACGAAAGTTTACGTAAAAAGTGCAAATAAAATATTTCTTCATTCCTGAAAGAAGAATCCTCCTGTAAATGTCTATCAAGGTTATGTGAGGTATTGTCTGGTTTGTCTCGGTTTTATGTCCTCGCTACACCAAAGGTTATATGTAGACTTTGTCCACGGAGTATGGGGCTACTAAAGGCCACTTATATAGTAAAGTGTAATCTCAATTAGATGCACTCCAATCGGTCATATTATACTGATACCATCAATACTGAACGTCAAACCAAGGTACACTAGGTACCGACTTTAAGGTTGTTGGTTTGTCACAATCAGGAGACAGAACCCAGACATTTTTCGCTTTGGCAAACGCTTCGCACCAACGCCAAAACCGAGCTATTATCCAGAAAGGCACAAACTAAATTTCAAAATGGTAGCCATGTATGCAGCAATTTAACTTTAGTCACATTCATGTTCTCAATAGAGGATACAAAAGAAGGCATTTACACATTAATCGCCTCTAACAATATACAGGGGGTAACTGTAAGTATATTCTTTCTTCGATCCACGACCTGCTGGATGCGATATGCATAGGCCCTTCCGAGAATTGAAAACCCTTCGAATATGTCATCTGAAACCCTTATTGGAAACTGAGTATCCTCCAAGAGAGGTGATCTGCAGTATAGATAATTTTTCATTAAAATTCCACTGTATCATATATCTGTCTATACACATACAGAATGTGCGTCTTTAAGGAGCGTTTGTCTTACATCACATTACGACCTGCCAGATAACCTCTTGTGGCATGCAACGAGTGAAACACTGATAAAACAAATAGAACTATACAATTTTTTTTACATTTCTCCTGGGAATAATGCTGTGGTGGTTCTGTGAAGCCATGTCTGAGAGTAAGGTAAGGATCACGTGTTTAGGGTCATGTGAGGATCAAGTTGGTGGGGGTCAGAAGGGTCTGTTGGCTTTGATAAGGATAAGGTAACTACACCAGACAAGGAGGTAACAGAGAACGGTCAGCTGTACCAGCGCAGAAGACGACATCCGACATCGTGAGTATCTCAACAAACTTTATGTTACTCGCTTGGAATACATTGATCTGTGGCGAAATAGTCCAGCAAACCTTTTATTTTCGGGAGGAAAGATGGTTTACGGATTCCCCTGCTTGTATTTGGGACACCCCTGGCGTCATGTAACTAAACAGCGAGGATAGTTTGTCGATTCGGCTTACACAGAATGTTAATTACAAAGGCCGCTTTGAGGACAAGTCGTTATCATTTAAATGTAGTTGTGCTTATTTCCAGCATTTGAGCTCAGGTGTCCTCCGAAACGATCACAGTAATCTGAGACTACATCGTCTCGTTTTGATTGCTTCTATTTCGCTTTGTTGTAAATTCGGTCGACGATTTGTTTCGTTTCTCGTCTATGAGAATGTCGGGAAACGTTAATGTAACAGACATTTTTGGATTAAATTTAAGAATCAAACTGTTTAACGTGATACAGGGAGGCCGAATCCAATAAATCTGGTTCACTAAGGAAATTTATAATTTGTGACAGTTTACATATTATGATTTGAATAAAAAATGGCCTACAAAATAACCATTTTCTACGTTAAAGTTTATAACAGCTCAAATTACAAGCTTATTGCATTTTGAATTGAAGGTAAGATAAAAGATTTAAGACATTTCTAAAGTATTTACCAGCACAGGTGTGGCATAGAGAACATTTCTCCAAACCATCACGTTATAGTGTACACTTGGAAGATAGAGTTATCTCTTTTGAGTAGTTGCACACTTCATAATATACACACTTTATCAATGATTTGATTAGAAATTAATCAATAATTAAGGGGTTTTATGCAACTGCCCCACTGTACAGTAATTTAGACAATTCGGATTTCCAACTTTTTGACCCATTGCATTACCGATGAATCCTAGAAGGATTACACAGCTGCATGATGTGGTATACTGTATTTGTTCACGTACAGGTTCAATCACCTTCATGTGGTATACTGTATTTGTTAACGTACAGGTTCAATCACCTTCATTTGGTATACTGAATTTATTTACGTAAAAGTTCAATCACCTTCGTGTGGGATACTGTATTTGGTAACGTACAGGTTCAATCACCTTATGTGGTATACTGTATTTGTTCACGTACAGGTCCAATCACCTTCATGTGGTATATTGTATTTGTTAACGTACAGGTTCGATCACATTCATGTGGTATATTGTATTTGTTAACATACAGATTCAATCACCTTCGTGTGGTATACTGTATTTGTTAACGTACAGGTTCAATCACCTTCATGTGGTATACTGTATTTGTTAACGTACAGGTTCAATCACCTTCATGTGGTATACTGTATTTGTTAACGTA